ACAAAAATTAGCTGGGTGTGGTGGTGGGTGCCTATAATCCCAGTTACTCGGGAGGCTGACACAGGAGAATCACTTGAACCCGGGAGGCGGAGGTTGCAGTAAGCAGAGCTGGTGCCACTGCACTCCAGCCGGGCTATAGAGCAAGACAGCATCTCCAAAAAAAACCCCAAAAACACCACCAAAAAAACGCTCAGATATCCAGATAAGAGGATACAGATGTGTCCACTGTCATAAATTCTTCACCACGCTACAAGAGGGGAACTGACATTTTGCTGAATCTTTGTAAATCATCAATTTATCTATCACACTTTTATTTCACCAGTAGCATTTACAAAGCTAAGTCCTACAATTCCATTTGAAATTACTCTTAAAAACAACAGACCTTTAAAACTTACTACACTCACTCTGAGGAAGAAATAAATATGAATTTTTAGCAAATAAAATCCATCATTTTACCTTGCCTCTTTGGAAACAGTATTTTTATCTTTCAAGCTGTACTGACAAAATGTATCTTACAGTCAATGAAAAACTGAAACTCAAATAAGCGGACAAGCCTTTTCAAGGTAACAAACTCAGGGAAAGGCAATGCTGACTCCAACACAGGCCTTTCTAAGTGTCACGGCAGGCCATTCTATCCCTCGGGACACCCATCCTGTTCAGTAAAGTACTGTTACCAGTACTGAATGCTGTATCTGTGCACTGCCTCTACCCTATCTTTCTTCAAATTGCTCTTTGTTCAGGTCAAGAAAGACATCCTCATTGACAGATCTAATGGTTAATTTTCTGCTGCTTATCTGCTAAATATGATTCTGACCATCCTCCTACTCATTGCAACTCTTTCTTTCACTGGCTTCCAGGTTATTACACAATTTTGATTCTCCTTCCCTCATCTCTGTGTGTGCTTAGTCTGTTTTGCCTGCTCCAGCTCTGCCTGTCCCTCCTGGGTTGGCATCCCCAAGGTCCTGTCTTTGATTCTCCTGTCTCACATACTTCAGGGTTATCAGCTTCCATCCTGGCTTCAATTCCTACTTTATTCATGACTCAATAACCTATGTAATAGTAACAGCATCTAACATTTACTGAGCATTTACTATAGTACTCATGCCAGGCACTTTGCTAACTTTTGTACCTGCCTTGTCTCCCCAAATCATACCAAATACTCTTCTGAGAATTACCATCTTCATTCTAAAATGAAGAAGGGTATGCTCAGTAAGGCCCCAAATTTCGTCTAATCCCATGGCAGAACTTTGATTGAACTCATTGTCTATCTGACTTTGAAGCTGTTGTTACATAACTACTTTATTTCATTATCTTCTAAACCTCTAACTCAGATCTCCTTCATTTTAGACTGTGACATCCAACTACCTACTGGATGTAGCTCAGGCACTTCTGCCTTAGTAGGTATTAAACTAAATTCATATTACTTGTCCCTCATTTCAACCCCTTTTCTACCCTCCAGTTGTCCCTATTTCAACACCTCCTTCTCTGATATTTATTATCAGGGTTTCTCCTTTAGACCATCCCTTAAGAACACGTTGGATTTTCTCTCTCCATCATCATTTCCGCTGGTCTCCAAGTCACCACAGAGGTGTCTCTACATCCCAGCACAGCTGGCATTCTCTTCTGCTTCCTAATTGATCTCTGAGCTGCTGGGTTCCCAACTGCAGTTGGTTCTCCCTACAGCTGTCAAGGTTAGCTTTTCAAAAAATCAATCTCATCATTCCACTCCACCTAAAAATCTCCCATGGCCCTTGTCACGTACAGAGTCATTTGTGTTCTTAGAGAGTTTGTGTTCTTAGAGGATTTATAGATATAAATGGCCTTGCCTTCCTTGCCTGTCAGTCATATCATGAACATATATGAATAATTATATTTTAAGATATATGTAGATACTTCTTTGGCTGAAGAAAACAAGTTTCAAAATCTTTACTAAATTTTAAATACATTCACTAAATTAAAAATAAATTATCCCACCTGGTGTGGTGGCCCACACCTGGAATCCCAGCACTTTGAAAGACTAAGGTAGGAAGATTGCTTGAACCCAGGAGTTCGAGACCAGCCTGGGCAACATGACAAAACCCCGTCTCTTAAAAAATACAAAAAATTAGCTGGGCATGGTGGCACAGGGCTATAGTCCCACCTACTGGGGAAGCTGAGTTGGGAGGATCACCTGAGCCTGGGATGTCAAGGCTGCAGTGAGCCAAGATCATGCCACTGCACTCCACCCTGGGTGACAGAGCAAGACTCTGTCTCAAAAAAAAAGGAAGAAAAAATCACTCATTTTTTTCTTAATGGGTAACTAAATGCACAACGATTGTCATATGAGTCTGCTCAATTTTTTTGACATTAAAAAAGATACTCATGCATAACTATATACCGATTTGATTATTTTTATGTAAAAGTTTTCATTTTAACTAATACTCTTTGACATATCTGTTTTCTGGCTGTGGACCTTGTGGCTAGGTCGTGTTAATTCTGCATAAAAAACTTTGGTAATGTATGAGTGACAGAGTGGAAATAGGTAATTGGTGTAGGGGAAGATGGGGATACTGACACTAGAGTCTTTTCGAAACTGGAATGGAATAAATTCCACATTCTAAAAAGCTCAATTAAAGTAATTAAAAATTCCCTGTGGTGTTTTATTAACTTCAAAAAGAAGCATTCCGGTGAAGCCTGAATATACAGTATAGTAATATACTACTATATGCATCTGGGACTAGACCTCAATATTCTAGCCTCCTAACCTGCCATTGTTAACATGGCTTGAAGGAGCCAGTAGGACCTCACAGCCTAGTAGTAGACTCATACCTCAACTCAGTTTTTAGTCTTAAAAGCTGGGACATCAGCTGTGGAAGCTTCAGGAAAAAAGAATGTATTTTCCTGGGAACCACAAGAAAAGCTTCATCAAATCTTTTATAGTAAAAGGAGAATATTCTACATTTCTTACATTTTCCACTTCAACTCATCACTCAGTAATTCAACAGGTATTTATGTGGTAACAACTCAGGCAGTGTTTGAGTTGATCTGAAAAGTCAGAGTTTACAATCAAAAGGAGGAGGGAGAAATGAAATGTAGAGGAGGATAATAACAAGTAGTAATTATATCCCTCAAAGAAATACAAACAAATCCAGAAGCATCTTCTTTTACATAACGGCAAACTGGGCAAACTCCAAATAGCCAGAGATGAGGTTCCTTCTCCTACCCTACGAAATGAAGAACCTAGTAAGAACATATTTTCTTTCATTAAAATTCAGTCCTTTTTTTTCTGTCTGGCTCACAGATGTAGCTTTAATACTTTCCTTTATTTCTGCCACCCAATTCCCTTTCTCCCCACCTCTTTTGACCGGTGTGAGATGATATCTCATTGTGGTTTTGATTCGCATTTCTCTAATGGTTGGTGATGCTGAACATTTTTTCACATGCTTGTTGGCTGCACCAATGTCTGTTTTTGAAGTCATTGTTCATGTTATTTGCCCACTTTTTAATGGGGTTGTTTGTTCTTTGCTTGCAAATCTAGTAAGATTTTGCCTTAGGTGAAATCTTCCTGGAAGCAGCAAGCCCTTTCAGAAATGAGGTACTGTGCAGTCTACATTCACATACCAGTTACAAGCAGACTTGGAGGTCGGGGGGAAGATGGGTTGGGGGGGAAGTGGGGTGGGTGGTGGGTGGTGTGAGGGGAGGCGGTCAAAGGGAAAGCTGGAGACAACTGAGCATTGGAGCTTTGTCTGCTGCACCCTGACTGTTCCTCTATAGCCTCTCTCCTCCAGACCTCGCAGCACTCTGCTTCACTGACGAGCCTCAGTCATCCCGGAAAGTTCATATCCCCATTGCCCACCTCCCATCAGGACACAAAGGGATGCTGAGCTGTGCTTGGGGACCCTTTTTTTTCTTTTAATGAGTTTCACAACTACTTTATTTTTTAAACTTTTATTTTAGGTTCAGGGGCACGTGCGCAGGTTTGTTAAATAGGTAAATTGCATGTTGCAATGGAGAGGTGGTTAGTGTACAGATTATTTCATCACCCAGGTAATGAGCATAGTACCTGATAGATAGTTTTTCAATTCTCAACTTCCTCTCACCCTCCACCTTCAAGTAGGCACCAATGCCTATTGTTCCCCTCTTTGTATCCATATGTACTCAACGTTTAACTTCCACTTACAAGTGAGAACATGGGGTATTTGGTTTTCTGTTCCTGTCTGTGTTAGTTTGCTTAGGATAATGGCCTCCGGCTACATCTATGTTGATCCATGTTGCTACAAAGGACATATCTCATTATTTTTATGGCTGTATAGTATTCCATGGTATATATGTACCACATTATCTCTATACAGTCTATCATTGATGGACATTTAGGTGGATTCTATGTCTTTGCTCTTGTGAATAGTGCTGCAATGAATATAGGTGTGCCTATGTCTTTACAGTGGAATGATTTATATTCCTTTGGTTATATACCCAATAATGAGATTGCTGGGTCAGATGGTAATTCTGATGTAAGTTCTTTGAGAAATCACCAAACTGCTTTCCACAGTGGCTGAACTAATTTACCTTCCCACCAACAATGTATAAGCATTCGGTTTTCTGTGTAGCCACACCAGCATCTGTTGTTTTCTGGCTTTTTAGTAATAGCCATTGTGGCTGGGCATTGGGACACAAGCCTGTTATCCCAGCACTTTGGGAGGCTGAGGTGGGCAGATTACTTGAGGTCAGTAGTTTGAGATCAGCCTGGCCGACATGGCGAAACTCCGTCTCTACTAAAAATACAAAAATTAGCCAGGTGTGGTGGCGCACAACTGTAGTCCCAGCTACTTAGGAGGCTGAGGGATGAGAATTGCCTGAACCCAGGAGGTGGAGGTTGCAGTGAGCCGAGATAGCACCACTGCACTCCAGCCTGGGTGACAGAGTGAAACTTTGTCTAAATAATAATAATATTATTATACAATAATAGCCATTGTGACTGGTGTGAGATGGTATCTCATTGTAGTTTTGATTTGCATTTCTCTAATGATTAGTGATGTTGAGCATTTGTTCATATGCTTATTGGCCACATAAATGTCTTCTTTTGAAAAATTCATGTTATTTGCCTATTTCTTAATGGGGCTGTTTTTTGCTCATTTATTTGTTTGAGCTCATTATACATTCTGGATATTAGACCTTTGTTGGATGTCTAGTTTGCTGATATTTTCTCCCATTCTGTAGGTTGTCTGTTTCTCTGTTGATAGTTTCCTTTGCTGTGCAGAGGTCTTTAGTTTAGTTAGATCCCATTTATCAAAGCTTGCTTTTGTTGGGATTGCTTTTGGTGTTGGGACCCTTTTGAATGGAAGAGGTTCAATGTAGAGATGGGGTCTTGCTATGTTACCCCAGCTTGTCTCATCCTCTCCTGATTAAGAAGAATCCAGGGGGTACTACAGGGACCATGTTGTGCTTTCCCCCCTCATAGCTTCCAAGCTTGCCCCTACCACTAAACAGATACTTCTTGCTAAAAACAAAATGAATAAAAACCCACAGAAAAGTGTAATTTACAGAGTTAAATGCATTACTCAAACGTAGGCTGGGTACGGGGGCCCATGCCTATAATCCCAGCACTTTGGGAGGCCAAGGCAGGCAGATTTCTTGAGCCCATGAGTAATCTGCCTTGTATTAATGAGCCCAGTGTGGGCAACATGGCAAAACTCCATCTCTACTAAAAATTAAATTAAAAAAATAAAGCCAGAGTTGGTGGTGTGTGGCTGTATTCCCAGCTACTCAGGAGGCTGAGGTGAGAGAATTACCTGAGCCCAGGAGTTTGAGGCTGCTGTGAGCCAGGATCCACACCACTGCACTCCAGCCTGGGAAACAGGAGTCAGACTCTGTCTCAAAAATCCCCCAAAAGAACAACAAGAAAACTCAAACTTTATCGTAATTCAAATAATAGAAATGATAGAGAAAAGAATGCCCCCAGAATCCAACCATCTTAGCTAGATAACAACAGTGTTTTTCTTTTTTTAAGTGTAATTTCTACTCTATTCATATCATTTGCCCAATTTTGAGATATTTTAAAT